GAGCATATGGACATGTATATGAAGAGACATAGTGATTATGAGGGTGAATTCAATTTAGCTATGACAAACCTTATGAGAGGAAACCAGGATGTTGTATTTCCTCAGTACCCCAGATATCCACCATATAAGCCTACAGCTATTTGGCGTAGTGACAATAGTGATGAAGAGGAGAATGATAATTAGTTTGAATCTTTAGTTTTGTTTGATGTTTTTAGTGTATGTGATGTTATGAACTGTTGTTAGTGCAATTGTTCTGTACTTTGTATTGTGTTTTCAATTATTATTGTTGAGACTGTTAGTTTTTGCTATGTTGTGTTTTGTTCCGTACACCTACTTTGATGTATTTGTGTTTTGAGAGTAGAGATTATGTTTGTGTGGTAGTAATTGTGATAATTGTGTTGTTTAATATATTTAGTTAGTGTGTGCTGAACCTAATTTTGGATCTTGGGAGGGCTTAGAGGGAGGGCTTATAATCTAGCTAACTTTTTACTTTAAAAAGCTGCATGTTTAAAATTTTCAATTTACTGCCAGTTATTTTTATTTATGTTGCAGTTATATATCTTTGTTAGTGTGTTTGTTTGCTTTTATGTTATACTCCACTGCATAGAAGTCTGATGAATCTCTATATGTTAAGAAAATTAAAATTTGATAAATTTAAATTCTTACTCATGTTTTAAAATTTTTTTGTACTTGCATATTTAAGATATAAAAATTCGTGCAAGCATGTTATTTTTAGTTTTCATTCCTGCCAATAATTATATATGATGCTAAAATGATTTATTTTATTAAAAATTCAAGTTTGGTGGAGGGATGAAAAATTTTCTGAAGAACTTAAAAATTTATTTGTTCTCAATTGTGCTTCAAATAAATTTGATTTTGATTTGAAGAAAAAAGATCATATATATCAAGTTATATTAGGGAAGTAAAATTTTGAAGATAGAAATGAGTGAAAGAATTTAGTTAAAATTTATAGTAATAAAGAAAAACTTAGAGTTAAAAATTTTTAATGTGGAAAATGCTAAATATAGTGTAACTATCTTTAGTAGAAAAAATTGTATTTTTGAAAATTTTAGAAGATTTAGATTTTTATTTTCAAAACATAAATTTTCCTATTGAAAATATTTTTATTAAAAGTAATTTTCAAAACTATTATTCAATTTTTAAGTGGAAGGAAAATATCAACTGTTTGCTTTAAGAAATGAAGAGTGGGATTCAAAATCATTAAAGCCATATCCATATATAGTAATCATTATCTAAAAAAGAAAAAGAGTAGAACAAGAAAAAGAAAAGAAAAAGAAAAATAAAAGAAAAAGAAAAATAAAAAGAAAAGAAAAATTGAAAAAGGAAAGAAAAGCTTGAGGATTAGTGCCTAATCAAAAATTGGTTCCACACTTGATCTTTTTAAAGTATAAGACTTGAGAAACTCTTAAGCTTAAGGATATAATATAGTAAGTAAAATTATGCTTAATAAAAATTTTTAAGTGGAGAAGATAAAATACCTAAACTCTATTTTCGGAGAATCTACAATATTCCTGAATTATATAGAAACTCATATTTTCATATTTCTTAACTTTAAAAATTTCTATACTCTAAGTTGGTCTCTTTTACTAATATTTTTTCTAAATTGGACTACTATATTTCTACATCAAAATTTTGGTAACTCCTAAAAAAATCATATACATCATCTACTTATATTATTTTTAAAGATTGAAGAGTCACTTGAGGATAAGTAACATCTTAAGTTTAAGGGATTTTGATACACCTAAAATGTATAGTGTTTTTATACTCATTTTTATACCTATTTTTGAGATATTGTGCTTTATTGAAAAATATTTGTGTGTTTTTCTTTCAGGTACAATAAAATAGATGAAAAATGATAAAAAGAGTGGAAAGAGTAAAATTTGGAGCAAAAATGAAGAAAGGTGCAAAAATGAACTAGGGCACTTAAGTTCCCAGGACTGACGCCTAAGCACCCGAGACTCGCGCCTAAGCGCCAGGTACCCAGCGCTTAAGCACCAGAAGTAGTTATTTGATGATTTATTGAATTTAGACAAATTATTAAAGAGGTGTTTGAAGCAACCCTTGGTAAAAATGTGAGAAATATTCCATGGATATGAAAATTCATTCAGTTGGCTTTTGAGGAGACAACTTCTAGAAGATTCTTTGAATGGAGACACATTTTGAAGGGACACCAATACACATTTTTTATTTTTATTAAAGAAGACTTGGATCTTCAAACCAAGAGGCCAACCACCCATCAGGTTTGACAGCCATCATCCATCCAAGCAACCACCGCTGGCCACTTTCTTTATATTTTGAGTGTTAGTTTGTATTGTGAGTGAAGGAAGTGTGAGTGAAGGAACTTCAAGACATTTGGTGGAGAGAATTTGAGATAAGAGTTTATCTTTTTGTTACACTATGTTTTAATTTAAATTTCTTGTTTGCTCCTATGATTTCTACTTTTAAACTCATGTGTGGTTATGTTTTCTCCATGGATTCTAAGTCTTTTTTTTATCTTTTTTCTTAAAATAATAAGTGATTAAGTGTTTAAAGGATGTTGTGTGAAGTATTATACATCAATGTTGGAAGAAGTTGAGATGATTTGAGACCTTGCACTCATTTACTTCTTGATTTGACAAATTAAGATGTTAATCATATACATCATCTACTTATATTATTTTTAAAGATTGAAGAGTCACTTGAGGATAAGTAACATCTTAAGTTTAAGGGATTTTGATACACCTAAAATGTATAGTGTTTTTATACTCATTTTTATACCTATTTTTGAGATATTGTGCTTTATTGAAAAATATTTGTGTGTTTTTCTTTCAGGTACAATAAAATGGATGAAAAATAATAAAAAGAGTGAAAAAGAGTAAAATTTGGAGCAAAAATGAAGAAAGGTCAAAAATGGACTGGGGGGCCTAAGTGCCCAGGACTGGGGCCTAAGAGCCACTATATTCCATGGATATGAAAATTCATTCAGTTGGCTTTTGAGGAGACAACTTCTAGAAGATTCTTTGAATGGAGACACATTTTGAAGGGACACCAATACACATTTTTTATTTTTATTAAAGAAGACTTGGATCTTCAAACCAAGAGGCCAACCACCCATCAGGTTTGACAGCCATCATCCATCCAAGCAACCACCGCTGGCCACTTTCTTTATATTTTGAGTGTTAGTTTGTATTGTGAGTGAAGGAAGAGAATTCAAAGAAACTTCAAGACATTTGGTGGAGAGGATTTGAGATAAGTGTTTATCTTTGTGACTACACTTGGTTTTAATCTAGATTTCTTGTTTTTGTGCATGATTTCTACTTTTAAACTCATGTGTGGTTATGTTTTCTCCATGGATTCTAAGTCTTTTTTTTTTATCTTTTTTCTTAAAATAATAAGTGATTAAGTGTTTAAAGGATGTTGTGTGAAGTATTATACATCAATGTTGGAAGAAGTTGAGATGATTTGAGACCTTGCACTCATTTACTTCTTGATTTGACAAATTAAGATGTTAATACCTGTTGTGAGAACATGTAAGATCCGAGATGGTATTGTCTCAGTCAACAAATGGTTATAATCACATATTGATTTCATGAATGAGCATGTAGTTCATAGGGTTGAGTGCAAATAAATAAGAAAATAAACCAATGATGTAGAATTAGATGACTTCAAAGTGACAGGCTAAATGCCCCAATTTGATTTATAATTTTAAGTTTTGATAAGAGATGTTAACCCCCAAGTGGAGGGAGAAGAGGGAACTCTAGAGTGAGAGCTATTATCTTCCCTACCTAACCGGTCTTCAAGACTATTTAAACTATAGATTAACCAATGTTCTTTATAACATCTCTAATAAAAGTAAAGAATATTATTGCTCTTATTTGGTACAACAAAATTTGCATACATACTTCCACAAAACAATTTTTATACTTATTACTGATTCATGACAAGCAAAAAATATTTTATTTATGTATCCTTCATCTTGCAAATATTTAGTAAAGTTAATTAGTTGCTTACTTTATTTTTATAAATAAAAAATTACAGAAAGAATCGAATTTTCATTCATATTATAACATCTTAAATGTAAGTAAGAATATTTTGTAAAGTAGATTTTTGTGATCTAAACTTTCTAGTTTTCTAAAATGCATATTGTTAATCTTCCTGTTAGCTCGATATTCAGAGATTAATCAAAAAGTCCTATATTACTTGATAACGATACGTATACTTGCGTAGAATCTCATATTTAAATATTATAATTTTATTCTTATTTGTTTGATAGTGAAAAACTTAGCTTGAAAAACTTAGCTTTTGATTTGAATCAAGTTTTTGAATTTGTTGTAAATTAAGAATAATTATTAAGGAAACTAAGCATATAATTGCACACATTGCGTTTTACATCTATATAAAAAGTCGGGATCAAGTTTTTGGCGCCGTTGCCGAGAAGTTAAATTACAGAAATTTGCAAAATTTTCAAAAGAGTTTTTAGAAAGCAAAAATTTCTATTTTCATAAAGCCTTATTTAAACTTTAAGATTTATTATAGGAATATTGTAGTGTTGTTTTTATATATTAAGTTATTGTTTGTGTGTTTTTATTTTATTTTATTTTATATATATTTTATAGTAATGTATGCGTAGTTCATATTCCACAGGACTTGTGTCTACCATTCTGAATAAGAAAGAACTATTAAAAAAATTTAAAAATTAAAAATTATTGAAAAATTTTGAGGTAAGAATTAAACTAATAAATATTCATTATTCTAAGAATAACTGGACAAATGGAATGATAAGAAGTTAAAACTTTATATGAGATTTCTTAGCAATAAAATATTCAAATTTGTAATTATGTTGTTTTGATGGTGGAATATGTAATCAAAGTTTTGAGGGCTATGAGGGTAAGAACCCTTAATTTATTAAATTAATTAGTGCTTAATTAATTTTTTTACACTAATAATTAATTAGTGAGATTAAATAAAATTAACACTCCTTAGCGCGCGAACCTCTTGTACCTCGTCCCTTCACTGGTTTCGCCCGGAACCATTGCTTCCGTGCCTGAAACCCTCACGGCACAGTCGCAACTGAAGCTAACTGGGTAGAAGAACGTACAGATATCTTCCCTCTCTACTGCGCTTCTACCCAACTAACCTTCGTCTTTCTAACTTCCTTCTTCCCAACCTCCTTCTCGCTTCAGCTCCGCTAAATCTCATAGATCCATCTTCCAACGGGATTAAGGCAAACCGCAAAAGAAACGGGATTTAAGAACCTGTAGGATTTAAAGTTGTCATTTTTGTTCCAATTTGGCAGGATTTAGGTTAAATCATGTTTAAATCCTTCTCAACTTCTGCTATCAAACAGACCTTAATTCTCTTCCATTCCTCGCAGGACAAAGGACGAAGGGATCGGTTCTCTCATATTGAAACTAAGATGAGGGGTGGAACGATCCAGATCAACTGGCATGATACCAAGCCAGTTCTAACCCTAGATTTTCACTCCCTTACGGGAAACTTAGCCACGGGAGGCAGCGACAATGATATCAAGGTACGGATCTATACTTCTCTATCTATTATCTTCTGATGCTGTCAGAAAATATGAAGATAGGATATTGATCGGCTTTTTGTGATAGTTTCACTGTTGGCATGACTGACAGTAAACCGTGGGTCTCCTGTATATGAATTCTGAAAAATGTTTTAAATTTTATTTTATTTTTTGATTGAATCGAAACTTTTCTGATCGGCAGCTGTTGCAATATTTTTTGATTGAATCGCTATCTTCTATTTTGGTTTGGGGCTTGGTTATTAGTGAAAATTTGACGTAAAATATTACTTGCAGAGTTATTTCTTTTTGTTTGTTTTGAACTACTTCTAGTGAATTTAATTTTTATTTTGCACAAGTGCCCAGTATGTTAAATAAATTGTTTATGCACAAAATTACTCTTTTTGTTTGTTTTGAAGCAAAATTAATTTACTTCATAGCTGTATTCTTCACAAATTGGCCATGTTCAATTTGCAAGGTTTGCTTACCATTTTGTGCCATTTATGTGGAAGGTCGAACTACTTCAAGATGATGTTAAGGGCACTTAAGGTTTGCATGAGTGTTTGACAAGTTTTTTACCGCTTGTTGTTTTATCAAGTATTGAAAAAATGAATGCACTTGTTAAGAGATATTGATTTCATTGTATATAGTTTGGAATCACTTTACTTAGAAATGTATTTCATAAAATTTCTACCTTTATAGTTTTAAGGAAAATATTTGAAGTTGTTGATTGCATTATTTTGTTGGATTCTAAATTATCTGTTGTTGGCATCAAAACCTTACTAACAAGAATGGGTATAGAAAAGAGAAAAAAGACAAAGAAAGCTTAAAGTGAGGATCTGTAAAATTTTCACCAGATTTTTAGAATGTACAGCACTGTTATGATAGAATAAATGAGCCGACCTTATCCTATTACTCTTTATTTATAGGCTCGAGTTAGGGTATAACACTGCAATAATGTGAAATGTTACATTATATGGCTTAATAAGTGCTTATTATAATATATATAAATTTAGAGTTAGATTATTGCTATTTTCTTACATTAAGAACTCACATTAGCTATTAGAAAATGAAGACATATCTAATGATGAAGGTTTTGATGAAGTTCTTGATGACTTCACTTTGAGCTAATAAGTAGTTTTGGTGTAATTGGGTGAGTTCATTTAATGAATTCTTTGTTATTAGGTTTATATTTTAAGTGTTTGAATCCTATTCAAACATTTGAGTCCTTGAGTCAAATAATTGCTATTGCATTTGCATGCAGCTAAGTCAGCTTGATTGGCCTGATAGGTCAATCCCTAGATTTAGTATTGGACAGTGGTTATGATATCTTGTTTTTTATTATTAGGTGGCATTTCTTCTGATAATTAGAATCATCTTATCTTAGTCAAATTTTAGTCATATAACCATTTAGGGGCACAAATAACACACTACATGTCGCATTAATTCAGTTTGAAAAAATAAATTTACTATGGTCATATGTAAGGCCAACATTTTGATTTTTTTATAAACTTTTGTCTTTTAAAATTTATAGATAGATATTTATTTATTTTCACACCTCTTTCAAGTTTGCCAAATTTTTTTTATATTGCGTTTTAAAATATAATAAGATTAAGGTGACAATTCTTATCTTAATTGGCTCCTTATGATGAGCAAACTTAGTTGTTTTATCATAATCATGTGAGTTGATCCTTGATCATATTATGACTTATGCACACCCTAAGTGTCATACTTGACGCACCCTTAATTGATTAGCTTAAATATAGGGTGTATTGAGGTTATATAGGGTGTAAGAGAATGCAATGTATGCCATATATAAGGCACATGCGAAAGTAAAATATAAAGGTAGCTGCTTAGCACAGTAAAGTGCCAGACTATCTTTATTTCATGTACATTATAAATTACTTGGTTTGTTAAGAGAAAATCTATTTTAGGTGATGCTTTCATGTACATGTACTTTTTATAATGAACAATTTAGTCAGGGAAGTTTTATAAGTGCAATAAAGTACAAAGAAAGGTTCTTAGCTAGTATAATTTTAGATCCAGGAGTACATATCGATCCAAACGGTTTGGAATTACCAAGATTGTTTAAAGTTACATAAAACGAGACGTGGCTTGAATGCTGCCTCAACATTTTCTTTTAACAAAAAAAGCAATGAGGTTTACGCTTCATTATCCCAGGTTAAGACTTATGTCTCACTTATGCTGAGGCACGTCTCGCCGCAATAAATGCCTTAACATTTTGAGGTTTATCTATAATTTTCTTTTGACAAAACTAAATTAAAAATTATTATTCATCACTTGTTAACTCTGACACATCACACACTAAATAAAAAAAAAATAAAAGACAAATTTATCTATAAAATCTATTTAGTTGAAGTTTTAGCTATCAACATGATTATTATTTTAATTAATACGTTTATTCATTAACCAGTAAATGATAGCTGATATTAAAGATAATAGGAAATTTGTGAATATATATGTCTTAGTATAAGACCTGAGGGAAATAATTCTTTATGTTGATAATTTTAATCAAAATCCATTGGGTGACGAGAGTTGTTGGGATTTTTAATTTAAAAAAAAATTCAAATATTTATGACTTATTAAATTTTTGCTTAAGTGGGGGGAAGTATGAGTGTGAGAGAGACTTTCGTTGAAATTATTTTGATTATTATGTTTTATTATTTTAATATTTTAGCTTACTTTGGTAGCTTAATGTTTATATAACTCATCATAGTTTATAATTTGATGCTTGGATATTAACATATTATTTCTAATTTTGTGCAATTTATTATTTCTTACTTATGTTGTTATATTACTTTTTAGCTTGCTAATAAGTTAAAATATTAATATTTTTATTCTTATCTCACACTTTATAGTTTATACAATATTTTTTAATATACATAACTTTTTAAATTTGAGGCTTAGTCCTGCTTCATGAACAAAAAATACTTCAATAACCTATTGGGCAATCTTAAACCTTGCTAATGATGATTTTGGAGGCAAGGATTGGGAGCAGATGGATCTTTATTTTTATACCTTATCTCAAATGCTAATTTTTTTGGCACATTGACATTAGTGCATATAATTAGAACAAGGTTTTACATGTGAAGTCTAGCTGCATTTTTATTTTTATGCAGATTGAATTTGTAGAACCAGATGCACCCAACTCTTGTTTACTCTTTTATTAGTTTTTTTTATGTCTATTTATTTTACAATATTGGATTGCAAGCTACATATTTTCTTTTTAAATGTTTTTTAACTTATTAGAAATTTTATGCAACAATGGGTTGTTAGGGAAAGGTTTCTCATCCAATTTTTAATAGATAAATATTCAATTTAAAATAATAGTAAAAATATTATTTTAAATCAAAATTTCATGGCTTTGGGGCCAGTCTCTTAACTGAAACATTCTCTTGTAACTTCTTAAGGAATAATAAAGTAGAGCTTATTAACAATAAATTCTAGTTGATTCACATGCTTACCATGGCCTATCTCTAATACATTTAGTTAAATGTCATTCAATTACAATAAAATTTGCATCCATTCTTGCATCCTAGGATAGTTGTCCCCGCCGACAGAATTTAAGTAAATACACTTAGGTGGATATCTAGCACAATTCATAGTTGCAATTTTGATCTATACAAAATTATAAGTTTAGTTGGATAGCCTTGGTTGCATGTAATTGAGCCATCTCTTTTACTTCTTTAAATAGAAATTTCTTATAGCTCTAAGGATTGTATGCTTTGCTTCTTTTTATAGATCTCTCTGGAAGATTTTATTCGTCTAAGAATTATTATTACCTTCACAGCTAGGTAAATTTGGGTTTGAAAACCTAAGATAATAGACCCTCGAAATCCTAATTAAATTGTTTCTATCTTTTTGTATATTCATTACTTATATACATCTCTATTTAAGCTCATTTAATCTGGTTGAGTTTTCATGGTTCATTAATCATCATCATATAGGATTCTGTTTGTCGAAATATTTTATTTCTTGGTTGTGGTGATACATGTTTTTGCCATTTAAAATGACTTGTCTTGAAGTTTAAACTATTTTATTAGGATGGTGATTTTAGGATAATGATTTTTGAATAATTACTACTTTTTAGTATTTACCTAATTAAACCAAAATTTGAGCATTTTTCTCCATCGCGTGATTTTTGGAGGGAGGTATCCTAGAGCATAATTAACTTTAGAGATATCATTTTCTTTAGGAGTTAGATCAACCTAGATGTTTTGGCTTTGATTTTAAAATATCTTAAATCGATAATATGACTATTCATAAGTATTTTATCTTAGCTGAGGTAAAACTTATTAGCCGTATTCCATCTGATTTTTTTTCATATCTATTTTTGTTGAATCTCTTGTATGAAAAGGCATCTTTACATTAGCACCATTTATCGCTCCACAACTTCAATAATACAACATGATCTTTGAAGGTGAAGTTTCTGATGAAGCCTTTATCGATTTGCTTTGAGTTGGCGAGTCGCTTTAGTATATTTAGCAATTTATCTGATAAGTTCTTCATCATTGGGGGAGTAGCTTTTGATGACTTTAATTCAGGAATTCAATGGTGAATATATTTTTACTCTGATTTGCAATAGTAAATGCCTAGTTCTATGTTTGAAGCAATTTGGTGAATGACTCTTTTATGAGACGTGGCTCAATTGTTGGTGACCAAGTGAATCCGATTTTAAGATAATGATGAGATCTGGTTGACTTGGCCTAAGAGACAATATGTTGACACCTTTGGCTAGTGAGTTCAATTATGTTGGTTAACATGCCTGATGAATTTTCTTAATGGAGGTTATTATTCATATAACTACTTACCGCCAAATCATACTTTTCTTAGAAAAAGTAAAGATTTAACTCAAGTAAAGTGTATTAAAGATGAAAATCAAAAAGTACTTTTCTTAGAAAAAGATATTCAACATAGGTGGGTGAGTTACTTTGATAAACTTTTTAATGAAGTTTCTGAAAATACGATCGAACTTAGTGATTTTA